GACATGTAATATTGGAAGTGCAATAGCCATCATCGCGCACCTGAAATTTTGGCAAGTAAAATGGGGGAGAGGAAAGGAACGAGACATAAAAGTGCACTACAGTTTCCAACTTTCCATCTTGATACTGATAACTGGAGCCAAACGTACATTGTTTTCTTTAAAAATTAACTACTAATAGACTAAAAATAGGATTTATACCTTCGAAATCACTTGAGGGGAAAATAAAGCAAAGGAGATACCCTTCATTTTGTAAAAGAACAAAATAAAACCCAATAAGAAGAAAATAGCAAGGCAGTACAAACATAATGAAAAATGAGAGCAAATATAACATAATAAATATAAATGGAGCAAATTCTTCTGCTCAAAGATATTAATCATTTGGGTTACAGTCACACAAAACTGTAAATGACTGAAAGTTCCACATTGGAGAATGGGTAAATATGTTACATCTGTAAAGGGAATGTTATGGAGCTAAGTCCATATTTTCAAATAATAGTAAATGACCTTAGAAATGATAATCAGTTAAGTAAAAAAAAAAAAAAAAAAAAAAGCAAGACACTAAATTACATATAAAAGATGGTTCTAATTTTTCTAAAGCCAATGATGTGTTGACAGTCATATCCTCTGGGTGCTGAAATGTGGGGTGATTTTGTATTTTATTTCTTTGTTGGATTTTATTTGTATTTCTCTATTTTCTAAACTTTCTACCATGAAGATGTATTACTTCTATGACCCCAAAAGAAACACTAATTGCTCATTCTGGAACATATTGCTACTTATTTTCCTAATTATCATAGCCAGTACTTTATCTGTTTGCTAAATCCAAGAATCTCACTAGAAGAGAAAATCCTTTTGCATGAAATTGAACCCTGCGAACCCTCCTATCTTCCTCCATCTCTTTGAGACCCACAAAGAGACAAATCGGAGTCAACCACTTCCAGGGAAAAGTTTACTCAGGCTTCCAAACTCTTCCTCTCCCTCCACTTACAACCTTACCCTCTATGGAGCCCATCTGGCGCGGCTCCGTTCCAGGTGGGTGCTGGCCTGACAGGCTGGGGCCCCAGGTGTGTGTCGGGCTGCCTCGCACTAGCTCACAAAAGCGGGCTGTGCCCACCTCTTCCCAACCCCACATCCTGGGACATGACTTTGCTAGTCTGCGATCGCATGGTGGGAGTAGTTACACCACGGTAATCGGCAAATGCTACAAATTAGGTTCTGCTCCTCCACCAAAAGCCAGTTGTTCAACACTTACCAGCACCCAACTGCCTGGTGTTCAGCAGCTGGTGCCTGGTAGGCGGGCTTCTGCTAACGTGTGGTCCCTGGGCTAGCAGCTTTGCCCAGCATCACTTAGGAGCTTGTCAGAAGTGCAGAATCCCGCCCTCCTGCTGATATCTGAGTCGGAATCTCTGGGGGTGGGGTCCAGCAGTTTATCAAGATCCTAAGCACTAGACAGGAGCAGCAGAGGCTCTGAGCGGAAGGGGGATCCTTTCCAGGCTTAGAGTGTCATTGTCCTACAGCACAATGAAGTAGCCTTCGATTTCCCCCTCCTTATGGTTCAAATATCACATAGAGAAAACTTAGAAGAAAAAAAAATTCGTATTTCCACCAGCCACACAACTGTTCTCACTTCTCCACATTTCTTCCACCATTTGAGTTCGTGTTTATATAAAAACCAGCTGCTGGCACATTTTTTTTTTCTGTGTATTAGTATACAATGCATTTGCATCCTGATTTCTTGCTGAACAACTTAGACTTTGACATGATCCCCAAGACCTGCTGACTTTTTCAAGAAGAGATTTTGTGTGATTCCTTCAGCTGCCCTTTCCCCCTGCCTCCAGCCAGCAGGCTGTACACAGCGTGGTTGGTATCTGGCATGTAACCTGCAGAATTAACATTCCTTATGCTGGGCCTGGCCCGCAGAGTGGGAAGGAAACAAGCCTCCCGGGCACAGTCACAGGCAGAGCCGGTGGAAAGGAGCAGGAACCCCTAATCCGTTTATTATGGGAAGTATTTTGGCACTGATTGTCTATGCCGTTTATCAACAGCTCTTTGTTGACTGGGCGTGGGAGGGTCTCAGTTCTGCTTGGAGGGAAGTTACAAACGCCTCCGGAGCCCTTTTTTGGGTGGTTGATTTACTCTTAAGCTTTAGGTAAAGAATGGATCTGTAAATTGCCTGAGTTTGTGGGACCATAAATCGCTTATTGATAGGTCACACTATTGGCAGCAAGAGCCTCAGGAAAACCACCGGTGTCCCCACCTCGTGGATCCTGAGGCTTTTCATAGCAGACGCACCGCCTTCCTCCAAGAAATACTCATTGGCGCCTCCTCTGACCCAGCAGCTCCACAGAGACGGGCCCGTGAGAAACAGAGAAACTCTAGATCAGCGTGCCACCTTCGGGGCTCGCTGGGCCGGACAGGCAGAGGCGACAGGCAGGGAGAGGCCTGGCCCGGGGTGGCGGGTGGGGCGGTGAGGGGGGGGATGCTCCCAGAGGGACGGCTCCAGGAGGAAACGCCCCGCCCTGAGGGAAGTGTGGGGGCAGAGTGGGCGTGTGCCACTGAGGGCTGGTCAGAATAGTTGGGGGTGGGGCTGGAAGATGAGTGGCGGGAAATGAGGCGGAAACCCAGGCAGGTGCTAGGTGGTCAAGTCGTCACTGTGCCAGGATAAACTACTTAGGCGTCATTCTAGACACTTATGGCTGAGAGGGTGGCATTCACCCAGCTAACAGCCCTCCCTCCATCCTCTCCCCCGTGTCCATCCTTCCGTCAACCATCACCCACCCATCTTTCGAGCTACCTACCCGCTTAATAGACTCCATACCAGGCACAAGATATTTATTTCCTTTTCCTGAGTCCTCAAGCTCTAGAGGTTTCCCCAGCCACTCCTTATACCTATTCTACTGCCGAGCTCCTTGGCCCTACCTGTGTCCACCTGCAGACTATCCAGGTGAGGGTGCTGTGAGAAACAAGGAAGGAAGCAGTCATGTGACAGCAAGGCGCAGCTGGTGGGTGACTGGGAAAGAGTAAAGGTAGTACCGGTGGGTGTGCGACCCAGAATGGCGAGGAGATCCCACCCTGACAAGTAAATATTCCAAAAGGCAGTTATGAAACTGTTACAGCAAATGGCAACCCACGTCCTTCACGTAATTAGGATGTGCCCTTAAAATTAAAAAAAGAAGAGTCAGAATTAAGAATGCACTATATGAAAAAAAACCCAGTTCCATGGATTAACATTTTTGTTGTGTGTTGGTTTTGTTTTCTTTTTGAGCTGGTCAGGGGATGGGCGGTGGAGCAGTGTTTTAGGTCTTAATCTTCTTAAATGGGTTAAATTTTGTAAACACACTTTGGTTTAACACATTTCATTGTCCTTTATGGTGAAAAAAAAAATCCATGCAGATAACAGAAGACATCACACACACAGATACATTACAAGGTACGCAAAAATCACCCACAGATAAAACTATTTGCGGGCACTTTGGTATATTTTTTCATTCTTTCATCTCTGCATATTTTAAACTGAGATCACTCATTTTTTTCAGTGTTGACTTCCTCCTCCTCCCTCCATTTAATACATGAAATGAGAAAACACATAACATTTTGTGAAAACATCATCTTAATGGCTATGAAGGTTCTGTATTTACTGAACCAGAGTCCCTTTTAGTGGAGGGCTTAGGAAGTTTCCAGTATTTTGCTTTTATTAAAACATGGAGACCATCCTTTTATCATCTACCTTCTATCAGAATTCTCATTACTTCCTTTATGTAGAATTTTAGAAATGGAACAACTAAGAAAAACATTTTTTTTAAACGCTGAGACCTCAATCCCTATGCCACTTTGCCTTCTAAAAAGACACTTGGCCTTCATGAACTTTTTTTAGAGGCCACAGAAGGTCTCTCCAGCTCTCTGGACATTAAGAGAATGTGGTGTATGTTGTTGTCTGTCTATTTAGTGAGCGTGCTGTGATGCTTCAGGGAAAAATTTGTGTAAAAAAAGAAAAAGGAGAAATAGAACGAACTGTCTTCCTGCTCTCTTTGGTTCCAAACCCAAAACAATCGTTCTGTAAGAAATCGGAAAGAATAGCTCCGGCGCGGACCCGTGTGGCTGGGTTGGTGGGGCGAGGTCCCGCACAGCGAAGGCTGCATGATGGGCCCCAGGTCTGGGCACAGGCCTGGGCTGCCGCTTCCGACCCTGGGTCCCGGGGCGTGCCAGAGGCCACGGATCTATGTTTCTCTCGCACTTCCAAGTTTCTCTCCCTCTCTTCTTCCCCTCCCTTCCCCACTCTCTAAAAAGACAAAAAAAGGGGAAGAGTGGAAGGAAGGAAGGGAGGGAGGGAGGGAGGAAGGGAGAGAAGGAGGGAAAGAAATAAGGGAGAAGGAGGAAGGAAGGAAAAGGAAGAAATAAGGAAGAGAGAGGAAGGAAGAAGAGAGTGAAAGAGCGAGAGAGGAAGGAAAGGAGGAAGGGAGGACGGGGACGGGAGGGAGGATGGAAGGAAGGAAGGAAGGAAGGGAGGGAGGAAGGAAGGAACGGCTCAAGATCCTTTTATCCGAGTTTCTAATCATGCTGCCAGGAATCTAAGTTTCGCATCTAAAGTAGTGGAACGAGTTTCTGTTGAACCAGTGTTACTTTTGACACTCACTAGTATTCAGACCATTGTCACCTCTCCTTAACACAGTGTCCCCCGCACTTCCTAGAGCCACAGCCTAGCCAATAAGCGTGTGGTGGCGGCTTGGCCGCCCCTGGGATGGGCCTGGGGTTGCAGAGGGCGTGGGGGGCGGCTTTGGATGCGACCTGAGATGCCCCGGGTCCGATGCCCGGCTCTGTAAATCCGCACTAACACTGTCCGAGCCTCGGTTTACCGGGGTGGAATAGGGGACCCATCCCAACGCGCCCCCGCAGGAGCGCCGGGGCTGAGCGCCGTACCGCACGGAGCGAGCCGGCGACAGCCCCGCCGGGCGCGCGCGCAGCCCCGGGCCGGAGCCGCGCCGCGCGGAGCCCGCACTCACCTCCGCCGTACATCTGGCACAGGTAGGGGAAGCGCCACACATTGCCCAGGCCCACGGCGTACGAGATGCAGGCGAACACGAACTGCAGCGGGTTGGCCCACAGCGGCCGCGCTTTCTCCATGGCCCCGAGCTCGCGCGCTCGCTTCCCGCCCCGGCGCCCGCACGTCTGTGTCGGTGTGCGGCCGCCAGGAGCGCCGTCCCACCCCGGCTCAGCCTGGGGGTGGCCCCGCGCCACAGACGCTCGCCCGCTTTTTAATTGCTAATCTCATTAACGGCGCGCCCGTCGGAGGGGCGTGGCTGGTAAATGGATGACGGCGAGCCCCACCCCGCCCGGCTGCCGGGGCCGGGCAGGAGCCCTCGATGCCGGCGTTCGGGGCGGCGCCTCGTCCCCTCGGGCTCGACGTCGGGGCCAGAGGGTGGGGGAGCCGTGGGCTCCTTGGAGTGGTCAGGCTCCCTCAGCCGCCCCTGCATCATTTCTTGAGTGCCTACTGTGCGCCAGGACAGTGCTGTGAATCTTGCTGCAGCTGACATTCTGGTAGAGGAATTGGATAAAATGTCCCATTTTCAGCTATTTTTGATCCACGGAACGGACAATTTCATCTGGTTCATTGTAGTCCACATGTAACACCGTGAGAAGCAAGGGAAGCAACTGAGGCAAAGCAAGGGGATTAGCAGCTCCGGTAGTGGGCTGGGATGGTCAGGGAGGGCTTCCCAGAGGAGGAGGCATGGCCTTTGCTCAGGGACGGGAAGGAAGCAAGGGACCCCCGTCCCCCGCCCCGCCCCCCTTGCGGAGGAAGAACCGTTCAGGCAGCCCAGTTTCCTTCCATCCACTCAACAGAGCGGCCCTGGGCGTCTACTGTGTGCGGGGCCAGGGGTCTGGCTCCGCGGTGCCTGGCGCAGTTGAAAATCGGGCTTTGAACAACTGCTGTGAGGGGCTCTACTTCTGAGGCCAGTCTAAGGGCCAGAGATTCTGATTCATTAGGCTCAGGTCGGGGCCTAAGAAACCTCGTATTTCTCCCAGTCTTGCCGGGTGACTCGCTGCAAGGTCACTAGACAGGCTAAACTGACGATTTGTAGTAATGCAGGATCTGTCCCGCTTCGAATCTCAGCTGTGCCACGGACTTAGCGGAGCCTCTGTTTCCGCATCTGCAGTGGGAACAAACATTTCCCTGTCCCAATGGCTCATGTGAGAATTAATCAGTAACTCAGCTTACTACTTGGCACATCGCACGTGCTCAATAAAGAGGCCAGGATTTTAAGTCCCCAATAGGCTAAAGGAATGCATGTGTAATATGCTATGTAAGTTAAGGTTGATGCCATGCTTTGGACAGTGCCTAGTGCATAGGAAGAGCTAAGAATGTGCTTGCTAAGTAAATACATAAATGCACGCAGTTAAAAAGAAGTGAGACGCCAAGTTGCTAGCCGAACTCTTCCTTGAAGCCAAAATGAAACCACCTCTTTGGGACAGTGCCTGGCTGGGCTTTCCTTGGAGTTCCTGCTTGGCTGGCGGCGGAGAGAAAGCAGGGCGTGGTGAGGAAGGTAGAGGCTCCTCGGACACATTGCTTGTCGCTGAACTGTCTACTTCCGACAGAGCAAAGCAGAAAAGTCCAGCAATCCAGCAGGAGAAAGTATTTTGATTTTTAACTCTAGATTCTAGAGTGTTTTTCCTACCCTTTGTCTCCTCTCCAAAGGAAACCTGGTTTTTGTTGCCATGGGTTAGGTTTCAGCTGCTTGGACCTCCACATAAACGGACCCCTTCAGGACGTGCCCTTCCGTGCCTGGCTTCATTTGCGGGGTTCATTCCCTCCTGTCCTGGCGCGCAGTTGTCGGTTGTTCCTTCTTACGGCTACATAGCGTTCCCCGGTGTGAACGCACTCAGGTCTACAAATCGTGGATGTTCGCATCATCTCCAGTGTGAGGCTCTAATGAATGAAGTGCGAATGACGTTTGCGTATGTGTTGCAGCTGGGCCATCCTGGGCCACGTGTGTGTGTGTGTGTGTGTGTGTGTGTGTGTGTGTCAGCTGTAGTGGCTATTGCCCAACTGTTTCTAGAGAGGTTGTACCAGTTCACCCTCCCACGAGTTTCGGTTGCTTTGCATCCTCACTGACTCTTATCATTCTGTTTTTAAAGGTCTTGCGCCTGAAACCTGACTAATTTTGTTAACCGGTGTCACCCCCAATAAATTCAATAAAAAGAAAAAGAAGGTTCTACTCATCGCAGGCAGTGAAACAGCCATGAGCTGAGCAAGCACATGAGCTGAGCAACTAGGCCGGGTGTAGAAGGTCACTGGGGTGGAAATCCCCAGGTGCCTAGCAATGAGAAAAACTGGGAAGGCAAGGACCTCTCCCACAGGTGACCTTCCCTCCCCTAGCTTATCTCTGGTCATGTGGTTTGGACCCCTGACCTTTCATATGGCTGGTAATACGGGCTGGACCCCTGAGTTTCCCTCCCTAAAGATAACATCTAGGCCTCAGCTGTGTTTTAGCTCCAGGCACAGAAAAGCAGCAAAACCAGGCGGGCAAAGCCACAGCTGCCTCAGGACCAGCTGTCCTGACTGATGACCTGATGACCCCTGGCGCTGATCTATCAGTGGGGACCAGGACCCGGAAAGAGCTCCCCTGGGGGACTGATGAATTGTCTGCTGAGACCCTCCCGAGACCTGCCCGTGCATTTCTCTCCCCCGCCTTTCCCCTCCCGGTCCTTTCTCCTAAACGGGAAGGGACCCCTGAGGTTTGTAGCCAGGGGAGCTGTGGGCAGCGGCAGCTTGTCCCAGGCTGACTCCCGAAACTGTCTCTAGGTTCCCCTTTTCCCTGACTTCCCAGAGAGCTAAAGCAGCCCCGCTGGGTTCTCCTGCGGCCCCTTCCGTCCTGAGCGCTTCCTTGTTTCATCGTCCTCGGCTTCGTAATAAGCATCCCATCTGAGTGTGCTTTTGCCATGGCCAAGAAACAGTTGCTTTACTGCACTTTATCTCTTGGCTGAAATCTTCCCTTTGGAGACATAGATAGTTCACTGTGGCTTTCAATTTTATTTATTTTATTTTTTTACATGTGCATATGTTTTATTTTATTATTATTTTTAATGTGTTTTTCCATTACCATTTATCCCCCTTATACCCTCTCTACCTCCACGCACCCCTCCCCCCCACAGTCGCCACACTGTTGTCTGTGCCCACGAGTCCTTTTTCGTTTTTGCTCCATCCCTCTACCCCCATTCTCCCCACAACCCAGAGCTGTCAGCCTGCTCTCTGTCCATGAGTCTGTCTCTATTTTGCGTGTTAGTTCAGTTTGTTCATTAGATTCCATGTATGAGTGATATCACGTGGTATTTGCCTTTCTCTGACTGGCTTATTTCACTGAGCGTAATGTCCTCCAGGTCCCTCCATGCTGTTGCAAAGGGTAAAATTTTCTTCTTTTTTACGGTCGAGTAGTATCCCAGTGTGTAAATGAACCATAGTTGTTCTATCCACTCATCTACTGATGGACACCTGGGCTGTTTCTAAGTCTTGGTTATTGTAAATAACGCTGCAATAAACGTAGGGGTGCATATATTTTTTCGTTAGTGTTTTGAGTTTCTTTGGAAAAATTCCCAGAAATGGAATCGCTGGGTCATAAGGTAGACTCATTTTTAATTTTTTGAGGTAACTCCATACATCCTTTCCACAGTGGCTGCACTAGTCTGCGTTCCCACCAACAGTGCACTAGGGTTCCCCTTTTTCCACATCCTCGCCTGCACTTGTTTGTTGATTGATTGAAAATAGCCATGCTCACAGGTGTGAGGCGATATCTCATTGTGGTTTTAATTTTGCATGTCTCTGACAATTAGTGACGTTGAGCATCTTTTCATGTCTATGGGTCATCTGTACATTCCTTCCCTGATGCGGAGAAGGCGGCGCACCTTTCCACAGACTGATTGGGTCATTTGGATGTCATCTTTCAGGAAGTGCCTGTTCAGTTCTTGTGCCAGTTTTTAATGGACTCGTCTTTTTCTACTGACTTATAGTTCTTTCTATATTCTGGACATAAGTCCTTCATCAGTTTCATGGATTGCCCCTTTCTTCTCTCGGTCTGTGAGTTGCCTTTTTTGTCAGTGGTGTCTTCTGATGAGCAGATTTTAACAAAGTCAAATTACCAGCCTTCTCCTGTCGTGTTCTCCTTTTAGTTTGAAACATATACATCCTGTTGGAGAGAAGTCTCCTTTATCAACTACAAGGTCAGGAAGATATTCCCGCGAATTTAAATTTGTGGTCGAGTTGGTCTCAGCGATCCAGAGAGAGGTCTGCCGTTGCAATGTTGTGGAGCAGTTTTGTTTTTTTATTTTTTTAAAGATTTTATTTATTTTTAAAGAGAGGGGAAGAGAAGGAGAAAGAGGAAGAGAAACATTGATGTGAGAGAGATACATCAATATGTTGCCTCTTGCACACCCCCAAATCGGGACCAGACCCACAACCCAGGCGTGTGCCCTGACCAAGAATTGAACCTGCGACCTTTTGCTTTGCAGGGCAACACCCGAGCATCTGAGCTGCACTGGTCAGGACAGTCGTTAAGCAGTGTAGACGGAGGCGCGTTGCTGCCTCCAGCTTATCTGCTGAGCACATTCTCATTCTCACAAATGAGCTTTCCCTAGATGGCGCCTGGCTACACAGTGGCGCTGAGGAGCTGGCGCCTTGGAGAGATGCCCTGCACCGTTGTCTTCACCCGGAGCAGGAGGCTGCTTGGACTGTGTTGGTTTTGCAAAAGCAAGGCCCCTCTTCAATTCCCTACTCTCGTTGGGATCAGGCCCGCCTCGCCCCCATTCATGCGGCCAGGCTCCCCGCCCGTCCAGGGTGCGCAGCCCTCGGCGGGGATTGGGCAGGACAGGGAGACATCCCCAGAGAGTTCCGTGACAGGACCAAGTCCTCAGGGGCAGATGCTCAGGGCTCCCCACACCTCCCTGAAACCCGTCTGAGGGCTCTAATCTGACTGGCCAGTTGTGCTGCTCTGGCTGCTAGAAGGGGAAAGAACAGGCCGGGAGGGGTGGGGGTGCTTCCACAGGAAGCTGGCAGTGGAGGTCGGCAGCCGCGGCTGGCAGCCGCAGCCCTGGTTTGCAGCCTCCACCAACATCTGAGGTGTAAATGTTCCCACGACGGCCAGCTCCCAGCTGCAGCGTGGAGTCCCTGAAGGCGGGGTTGTGGGGAGATGGGCAGCGTGGCACCCCGCAATGTTGACTTGCCACCGCCCATCTGCAAGGGC